TATATATGTATATTATTTAATTATATATTATATTTAATATACTGTATATATATTTAAATAATATATAATTTTCTTGTAATTTTCAAATCATGTGTTTTTTTATGATTGTTTATTGTTGTACTGACAAATATCTCCTGGAGTGTAAACTATATCTTGGCTGCAAGAATCAAGCTCAGAAATCCTTCGTTTTCTACAACTGATAGTGGTTGGTCATTACAATGAAGTTTAGCAACTTCTCGGTAAACAGAGCTCCGTGGCTTCAGCGATGTCCTCTTCTTGTTCAATCCGAAGCAAGCAGTCTGATTTCGGTCAGCCGCGTTAAGTCTGCTCCTCCTCGGAGACCAGCAGACTGAACGGGGCACATTGGACGCAGCTGGCCGGGGTCGGGATGCCTGCTACGGGTTCAGTGAGAGGAGCAGACCGCTGAAGCCCTGGAGCTCGAATGTCCAACGTAAAACTAACTTTACCACAGTTTAATGTGGTGCTATGGCTCTGCAGACATTGCACGTTGCTGTCTTGTTTGCGGTGTTTCTAGTGTAAAATACTTCCACACAGCGGACATGTTTAGATGAAAAGCTGGTTAGCTGTTAGCCACAGTGCTGCTAACTCAGTCCTCACGTTGTAGCTGGCTGCAAACTATGAACTGGATTTCCTGAATGTGAGGCGAGTCTTATTACTCTGGGCTCATGAGACACGCCACCATTCAGGAAATCCATTCCATAATTTGAAGCCAACATGCATCATGGATTGGAAATCTCTGCAGGTTGGATCAGAAAAATCTGATAAGTAAATTATGTTTGTATCGGAGGCCAATACCAATACTGGATCGGATTGGCCCCATCCCTAGTGTTTAGTCATATTTAGTCACTCAAAGATTTCAAATAAGCTAACTTTGTGAAATAAATTAAATTGTTACTATTACTACAATACGTTGAGCACAGGCAATAAAATCCTGGGAATGTGATACACAAATGGACCAATTTGTTTTATTTTAATGCTGGAGTTGAGATCAGAACATCAGCTTCATGAATCAGAAATGGCTGATGTACGAAGCAGATTTGTTTATGTTTTTGAGGTTTATAAAATTAACATTTTGGTTTTATTTTTTGGCAATGAATGGTATTGGAGTTGTTTCATCCATCGCTATTCATGAAACACAGTATTCAATTTAGTGAGGCCACAATATGAGCATTGATCCAAGCTGAAAGTTATCCATATCTCCTCCCTAAATGTAAAAAAATTTTTTAGGTCTGTCGCAATAAACAATAAATCAATTAATCGCATGATAAATGAAAATTATCAACCTCATTTTCATTTATCGGCTTTATCGTTTCTTTATGTCTCCCTCTTTCTGAAGACACAGGATGACAAAAGGCTCAGCTCTGGTGCTCTTCACTGACCGCTCCCTTTCTTTGTTCTCTTTAAAATCCATTTTAATCATCCAAAATCACCAAAATTCACGGTTGAAACCCGTACCTTTGAGTAAAAAGTTGTTTTTCTCTGCAAAAAGAAGCTGAGAACTTGTTTACTGATTTTTTTTATTAAAAGCTTTGCGTGGAAAAAATGCTATGCTAAAGAGCTCAAACCATACTGAGCATCTGCCTTTTTAAGAACTGAAGAAAGCCAGCCCGTTTCACGTTAAGGGGCCTCCCTCCCATTTTCTTAAAGAGACACGCTGCTCGCTCCCTCACTATCCATCCTTCAGTTCAAATGGTCAAACTGCCATCTGCTGGTCATAAAAGGTACTACACACAAAACATATTAACAAACATTTCTTCTTAAATTTGACATTACTAATTATTGTCAAATTTCAAACAATATTATCGTTTATCGCAATAATTTCTGAGACCATTAATAACACAGCAAAATTTGTTATCGTGACAGACCTAATTTTTTATCTAACAAATTTAATAAATTAAGCTTGTAAAGATCAAAGTTAGGATCTTACCATTTTTTCTGATAAACTCAATGTTCTTGCTGTTGGTATTGGCTACTGTTGTACAGTAGTCCCTCGCTACTTTGCAGTTCGTTTTTTGCGGACTCGCTCCATCGCGGCTTTTCAAAATAAGATTGGACATGACACACAATTGGCTGATTGATGAATGAGCCACATGATCGTCATGGAATTTTTATTTAAAATAAATTATTTAAAATAATTTAGCACCTGCTGCAACTGTGTGCAGCCCATGCTGCAGGAGAAGATTTCTCCTGCAACATGTCATATCTCCACTTTGCAGCAGAGAAATGGGCATGGCCAAGAGCACTGGCACATGGCAGAGTGCAGCCGGAGGCAGAAAGCTTAAATCATGACATTCGGTGCTCTTTTGGTGTTTAGAGCTTACAAACATTTTTTAGATTATTGCAAGAGTGTAGGGGTTTAAAATGCCTTAATAAATACATATATGAATTCTAAAATAAACTATTACTTACTACTTCACGGTTTTTCACTTATCGCAGGGCTTCAGGGTATGGATCCCCCGCGATAAGCGATGGACTACTGTACAGCAAAAGTGCAGTAGTCCCTAACTACTTCGCGGTTCGACTTTTGCAGACTCGCACTTTTGTGGTTTTTCAAAGTAAGATTGGACATGACACACAATTGGCTGATAGATGGACGAGCCGCACGATAGGCATGGATTGTTTATTAAAAAATATGTATTTTAAATGATTTAGCAGGTGCTAAATCATTAGGTGCAGGGAGAAGCTCCATCCTGCAGTGTGTCATGATCTCCGCTCTGTGCCACGCCCACATTTCTCCTCCATGCTGCATCTGCTGTGTGAAGGGTTAACCCTTTGCTGTCCTGCTGCGCTTCTCTTATCTACAATTTAAACTTAAATAATGTAATATTTTAAATAAACTATCATGTTTATTTAAAATATTACAGTATTTAAAGTTAAATTGTTTATTTACACAGACAGGGGGAGATTGGGAGTAACAGGTGAGGAGTGTGATTGAAGTAGAGAAGTGGACTCGCAGAGAGCAGAGATCATGACAGGCTGTGCTCTTTTAGAGCCTTTAGAGTTTAGAAACATTGTTTAAAATATTGCAAGAGTGTGGGCAGGGTTTATAATGCCTTAAAATATATAAAAATGCTAAAATAAATGACTACTTACTACTACTACTACTATTTGTACTACTATCCCTACTTCATGGTATTTCACTTATCGAGGGGACGTGGTCCCTAAACCCCGTGATAAACGAGGGACTACTGTACCCCTGTCTGGACAATTAAGCTAATTGACAAAAGGGTGTGGTCTCAAATGTGTCAACACTGTGGTGCCCTTAGATATGCCTGTTTTTGAATTAGCTTAAAATGCTTAGATGTGCCAGTTAATGGGTTGGTTAATCAATTGAAATACCTTTAATGTAGTAACTAATTTTGATGCCCTGTCCTCGTAACAACAAAGTACAAATATTGTTATTTGAGTGTAGATATTCGGACAGGTTTTGTTATTTTTCCCAATAATTAAAGCCTTGAGTTTGTTCAGATTCCACTATCTACCATCTCAGCACAGAGCATCATTTGCCCTCTCTTCCTTAGAAAAAATGGTGAAGTTCAGACACTTAGGATTCAATCTTGAATTGCACATGTTCTCTAAAGGGTTTAAGCCTGACTCAGCCATGCAAGGACGTTCACCCCTTATTTTATTCTGAGCCACCACATTGTCAGCTTGGCTCTTTACTTGGGATCACTGTCATGCTGGAAGGCAAGCAGTCCTCCCATGTTTCTGGCATCATGCCGCAGGTTTGCCTTGAGAATTCTTTCCATTTTTCTTTTCTATCCATGACAGATTTCTGAATTTCTCCCCGGAGATAAAATAGAAAACAGATTGCCACTAAAGCCATGTTTTCCTGTGCATATGGGGCTCTGTTCTGCGGTGGATTTGCAAATCCTCCCTAATCATGTTATTGTTCAAATTAATCTTGTTGTGGAAGCTTTGAATTATTTTATTTCTATTTTTTTCCTTATGTCTCAGTAATCATATACCGATAATTAAAATCTCCTTTTTCTATGGCATAAATAGAAAAGGCCAGTTTTGGTTGTACTTTTACAGAAAGAGGTTTTTAATATGAATGTTTATGAGATTACTGTACATTAAACATTTTCATTACTCAACAATCACTTAAGACTTGATCAACCAGTATATTACAATGTTTAAACCAAATATGTTTCTAAAGTTTTCAGCTTTTTTTTCCGTGCACAAGTTCTTTTTTTTTGTTAGCAAAAAATCCCATGAACAACTGGACAGATCTTATTAAAACTCTCTTAAAGTAATCTCTGGATGTACATCTAATCTGATTAACTTCTAGAATTAATTCAAGATGGCCACCACAGCTCATTGACTTTGGAAAACACTAAACTGACTCCAACTTAGTCAGTTTAACAGATACTGGGGTAAAGTTTTGTGTGGTCATAACTGAGAGTGATCCCCAGGTTTTGCTCTAGAATAAAATAACTGTGATCTTAGTTTAAAACTTTTAATTAAAAAGAAATTAAATCCATCCTTTTTTGGTTGAGGATCAGAAAAGGGTGGAGTGCTCTCTTCAGGTCGAGGGTGAGGTTCTGCCTCAAGCGGAGGAGTTCATGTATCTCGGGGTTTTGTTCACGATTGATGGAAGAATGGGGCGTGAGATTGACAAACAGATTGGTGCAGCATCTGCAGTATTGCGGACACTGTACCGGTCCTTTGTGGTGAAGAGGGAGCTGAGCTGTAAGGCAAAGCTCTCTGTTTACTGTTCGGTCTACGTTCCTACCCTCACCTATGGTCACGAGCTCTGGGTAGTGACCAAAAGAATGAGATCATGGATACATGCGGTTGAAATGAGTTTCCCCTGCAGGGTAGCTGGACTCTCCCTTAGCGATAGGGTGAGAAGTTCAGTTATCAGGAGAGACTTAGAGTAGAACCGCTGCTCCTCCACATCAAGAGGAGCCAGTTGAGGTGACCTGCCTATTGCTGAATTGTTTTGGCTGAAAGCTGCTGAAGAAGCTGAAACCAGGTTTAAAAGGTGTCATTACTAAACTGTTAATGGGAGTTGAATTTGAACATCGGACATTTGCTGAAAATGAAAAAATAAAAGTGTAAAGCTGTAGGAATGTGTAGGAAAATAGCTGGATATAGCAGAATTGTGTCAGAAATTAGAAATGTAAGCTAAATGACCAGAGATAAGGTGAATAGATTAATTACAAAGAAAAGCTTAAATTAACGAAAAAAATAAAATAAAAGTTCTTCTTTTGACTGCTCCCTTCGTCAGGGCTCACCACAGCAAACTAAGTCGCACAAAGACATGGCAATTATTTTTACGCTGGATGTCCATACCATACCCATACCATTTTATTTATAGAGCACTTGAAAACAGCGACAATGCCAACCAAAGTGATGTACAGACAGAACAACAGATAACACACAAAGCAAAATACAAAATGAAGTAAATCAGAAATATAGATGTGTCCTTCCTGACACAACCACAGCCCTCTGTGTGGAGCGGAGGGCTGCTATCTAGGGCACCTTGAGGAGCAGATGTGGAGGTTAAGGGCCTTGCTCAGGGGCCCAGAGTGGGGTAAATGAGGGTGGAGACAGGTGTGGGAGCTTCACCAATCCCACCCGCATTTTGATGTCGCTACTGAGAGTTGAATCATCGATCTAATCACAGACCTACCTTCTCTAATCTCTGCGCCACCACTCCCTCAGACAAAAATATAAACTGAAAAGACTAAAAACAACTGAAATTAGTAGAAAGAGGCTGAAAGGAGCATAAAACATTGAAATTGTTAGACAGAAGCATAAAAGATAAAGATAAAAAAATTTGCAGAAAAACACATAAAAAGTAAATGAAAAGAAGGAAACAAGATTTTTCAGTGTTAAAGAAGCTATAGGAGCACCAAAATAGCTGAAAAAAGCTAAAATGATCAGAAAGAAGCTGAAAGGAAATAAAGGAAGTTGAAATTAGCACAAAGAAGCTGAAAAAGAATTAACAATAAAAGGTTTAAACAGCTCAAAGGGTTTGAAGGATGTGAAACAAGCTCTTTTATTAGATATGAAAAACGTTTAAAAAAGCTCAATATTTTCACAAACATTGCAGAAAGAGTTATGTGTCAAAATCCTTACAGTAGAGAAATGCATCTCAAAATAGTAAATGCTTTCAAAGCATTCACACAATTATAATAGTATCTTATTAAAGCTCACTTAGATTATTAAACATAAAGGTCAGTAATATAGAAGTTAGATTTCTGCGCTATTTCAGGTGTTTGGTTATCCATTTTATTAACCTCCTAACACTTTTTTTTTACTTCCCAAAACGTTCCCACATTAAATTTTCAACGCTTGATGTTGAGAATGGATGGATGTTTTGTGTGCAGACCTACATACAGTAGAAGAGAATATCCCAGTTAGAGCGTCAATATGTCGTGTCCAGAAGGATTAGAGAAGCAAATCCTACACAAAATAGTTCAACGCTTCCAAGTCCAAGCTTTAAAAATCTGCTTAATCAGATTTACAGCAGTTTCAAGCATGTTTGTGACAGAGGAGCGGTCATGTAATGTGCTTTCTTGTTTATTCCTGCAGGGTGAGGAATCAAACTCTCCTGGCTGTAGGTATTAGAATTCATCATCACCTTCAGGAGGCAGAAGGGGATCTGCAGGGGATCAAGACCCTACCATTCAGGACAGTGCGTTGTGTTCAAGAGATGCAGAGTCATGTTCCGATTGCTCGACTCTGCAGCACAAACCAAATGTGTCGTGCTATTTACACAAAATTTGTTTTTGATGTGTTGCCCTGAGTTTCCTTCGAGAGCAGCTTATTTAACAAAGCAAGAAGCCAACCGTCTATACAGCTCCTGAAACATGAAAAACGATGAAACGGAACGGATTTATGAATGACGGTCAGAAACACGATATTGATGAATTGTTGATGCTTTTATAAAATGTGCTTGCGCTGTAATTTTACTTTTTTTTTTCTTGTTGTTGTTGCTTTTGCTCAAATGTGAAATGAATTAGGGTAGGAACAGTTTGTGACCGCAGTGTGGTCTTCAGAAAATAAATTGAACATCGCTGCCGTCGATTCATGCATAAGCGAATAGCTGTGAGCGTAACTTCGTCCAGCTTCATCCATTTATCACACGCATGCCCTGTGGGGCTCTTCCATCATGTATTCCAACTCCCGCCAAGTTTGTGAAGCGAAGCGAGGGCTTCCTGTGGTGGAGAGCCAACTCTGGCGCAGGAACTCCTCCCGGGGAGCTGCGCCCCGACGGCTCCTCCCTGCTCAGCCTGCACATCCCATCATGGACTGCTGCTGTTAGGAGCCAGCACCTTTCTCCTTCAGCACCTCCTTTTTGATCTGATGCCATCTCATGTAGGAAAGGAGACTTTCAAAATGCTGGAAAGTTGCAAGGCTCACATTTTGGACACATCAGAAATAATCTAATCTGGATTTATTTTGCATTCGAGCATAAATTCATCACAAGCGGAGTGTTGATTCCCCCCTCTCATTTGATGTGTTTTTTTTTTTTTTTCATTCTGTTGTAAAGATGTTTCTTTCTGGTTGGACTTCAGTGAAATTGTTGCCATGTGGAGGTGTAGTTAATTTGATTACAAATAAATGGCTGCAAATTAAATCATGTCACTAACAACTTCATGTCAGCGTGTTCTCCTGTCAGTTATTTAAATTGTGTGTCCCACTTGTGTTTTTTTTTTTTTCCACGTCTGATGTAACCGCAGTAAAGGAATTTCAAAGGATGAGGAGCTAATGCTGGAAAGTGTTATGAACCAGGTCTCCCAGCTTGTTGATCCGTTGGCTGAAGAAGAACCTGAAAGCTCCACTTTTAAAAACTTTTACAATTCATTTGGATATTTTTAAAGTGTGTGGAAAATGTGTTGCTAGGTTACTATTTTAACTGCAAATGATTGAACATCGTGAGCAGCTCTATGATTCCACAGTGCTCATAGTTTCTGCACACACCCCTCTTTTACAAAGTCAACAGGGTTCTGTCATTAATCTATTAGTTCTAGATGTGTGTGTGTATATTGTCGAACAATGTTTGATTTTGGGTTTGTTTCAACCAAGCTTACCATACAATTTACTTAATACTTCAAAGCTTTTTGCTTCACACTGCAATCAAGAAAACAAAAAAGTTGATTTAAAGTGTTTAACGCTCAACAAGTCTGAATTAAAGATGCACCTGTCAAGTTAATTGGTGAGATGATGATGATCTTTATCTTCATTGGTGACTGACCAATCCAGCAGTTATTTTTTCTTTGTGAATGCACCATAGCTAAAACGTGATACTGTTGGCATCACTGGTATGTTTTTTTTATTCAGCAAAGAAGACCTGTCCACAAAACTTTTTTTTTTTTTTATCGTTTCACCTTTGCATCCATATGGAAATGTCATTTTAGAAGCACTAGAAGCACTAAAATTATTATTATTTTATTCTGGAAGGAGTTAAAGAGCATTTGCTTGGTTCCAGATAAAAAATAAAACCATGAAACACCACCCTGGAGTTTTCATGCGGACAGCCAAAACACAAATTTTTGAAAACAATACAAAGCCCCATCATATACTAACCTACAACCTGATCGAGCCTGATTAATTTGTGTGGACAAGGTAGACATTTTATGTTTGTGCTATCTTCATAGTATTTTTTAAAGGTTGTTTTATTTTCTCTAAGATTACACTGGCACAGTTTATTTTAAACGGATGTCCTGTTAGGGAAAAATATTGTTCTGTGATCTGATGCACTTTTATGTTTTAAAACAAAAAAAATAATAAAAATATTAATTAGCTACAATCTGTCATTAAGGTTCATGCTCAATAATCTAGGTAAAACATCCAACAATGTTCAGTCAGGTCATCTGGACAGATTTTTTTTGTTGTTGTTGTTGAGAGACGTTTCTTGAGTATGAACCTTGATGTCTTGAACCACTTTGGCTGTGGCAGCTTGGGAGGAGTCGACGGGGGGAGAGGACAGCCCCCAAAAAAACATGTTATCACCAGCAAACTGGTTGGTCCACTGTAGGAGTGTACTGCTTAGTGGGGAAAACCCTAAGCCCTAAGGTGTAAATGAACAGTATTTGAAAAAAACGAATTACATATGAAAAACACAACAAAAACAAAACAACATTTGAAAAAGCAGAATTACATTAAGCCAAAGTGGAAGTGGTAAAGCGGAAGTGGCCACATTTGAAAAAAACGGAATCACATTTGAAAAAAACGGAATTACATTAAAAAAACGGAATTGCATTTGAAAAAATTTAATCATATTTGAGAAAACAGAATCGCATTTGAAAAAACTATCACATTTAAAAAAATGGAATTACATTTAAAAAAACAGAATCACATTTGAAAAAAAACGGAATTACATTAAGCCAAACTGGAAGTGGTGGCTTTTTTTTGTGTGTAGTGGTTTATTTTTGTACTTTATTAACAACATAAAACAGAACAAGAGAAAAATGTACAGTACACACATTGTTCTGTTGTTCTTTTTATGATATTAATAAATAAATAAAACACCACTTTGGGTTTGGCTTAATGTAATTCCGTTTTTTTCCAAATATGATTCCGTGTTTTTCAAATGTGATTCCATTTTTTCAAATGTTACTCCGTTTTTCCAAATGTTGTTCATTTACACCTTAGGGCCACCGTAGAAAACAGTTTGTTTGTGACTTCTCAGACTGATGAAGCCCTTCGGATGGAAGGCGAAACATCTTTCAACAAAAAAAAGAAACTGTCCAGATGACCTGACTGAGCATTGTTGGATAGCTACAATCTGGTTTATGCAAGAATACCTTGATTACTTTTAGATGGGTTTTATTTGAAGATATTTCTGTCCAAACACTTGGAGAGTTATTATTGATGGATTTCTAGTGACAAATAATATTCTGTAAATGGCTACCTTTAGTTATTTTTTTAATACATTATTTTTTTTTTGTAAACATCTAAATATAAATGTTCACATTTCCAAACCAACTATACATTATTTACATTACAGATTACAGTTCTTGGACATAAAATGTAATATGCATGACAGAACATTGCAAAAATTGTAAATTGGAATCCGCTTAAAGGATTGTGATCAGTTCATCTTAAAACTTTTTTTTTTTGCTGGAACATCAGTGTTTAAATTACTCTGCAATTTTTTTCATTAATCTCTTGGTACACCTTTTTTGTATTTGGTTAATGGGACTTTGAAACAATGCAATACCCCTATTAGCCTTATGTGCTACAAACACATCTGCTGATGACATTTGCCCTCTAGGGTTAGGTGAAGTTTTAGTGAATCTACATTATTTAAAAGAAATATGAAGAAAAGTTCACTTCACACAGTTTTTTAAAACCGCCCATCAATCATGTCAAGTGTGACCGGAACAAAAAATTTAACTTAAAAGAAGAAGAACGTCAATCAGCTCAAAATGTGTGTCTGGTAAAAGATCATGTGAAATATTAAACACTATTTTTGTATCTGAAACCATGTTAAAAATAAATGGAGCTTGGGTTCATGATTTTTATTCTTTTTATCAATTTGGTGATTTGTCATATATTTTGCAACAAACACTCATTAACAATAAAACCAGTCATGTCATGTAATAAAAACTGGTATAGTTTATCTGGGTGACATTGGGAGATTTCTGGCTGAACGCACATTTACTGTGAAAAACCCTTTTCAAGTTTATTTCAAAAGAGGTAAGACGACGACTTTTTAGTGAGTAATCCTGTGCTGACAATTTGGTTTACACCAAAATCGTCAGACTTGTAGAGACGTGTAAGTGACAGCTGTTGTAAAGAAATGTAAAATTTTTTGTAAAGATATTTTTATCAAACGGCATGTCTACTGTAACTTTGTATTTTGTTTTCATGTGTCAGAAAAAGCATATTCTAATTGTTGTAAGGCTACAGGAGTCATTGTCATTGCAGATTTGTGTTTCTATTAGTCAATAAAACTGTTTGTGTCATATAGTTAACATGTCAAGTTTGAGTTAATGCTTTTATTTTATTATTATATTTGAAAAAATTAGCAGAAAAAAAAGCACTAAATTGCATTTTTATGGCCAAAAACTGATCATAAGAAAGGATAGGAGCTAAATAAATACTTTCTTGACGTGCAGAAAATATAGAAATCCATAAGAATGTATGACAATAACAAAATGTCACCAGAATTAACAGACAGAAGCTTGAAAATGAAATACTGACATTAACCTAACACGTTTATTGATGGGCCGAATAAGTCACATCTGTGATGGTTGGAGCTGGAATTGGATTTCTATTTTAAAACCCATTTTTGCATTAATTTGTTAATTCATTTGCTGCTAAAATGATCACATGAAAACTCTTGTTACAAATCCAAACTTAGATCTCAGAGCTTTTCACTGTAAATATTACCTTCACTTCATAAAACCCATTTTCATGCTGTATTTTTCAACCGTTCGAACGCTTCGCTAAATAATTTATACATTAAATGAACTTCTTTGCAGTGAAAGCAAGACATTGTGAAATAAAATAAACCAGCTGAACAATAGTGTCAAGAATTTCTAAGTCCTTTTAAGAAATGATGGTACTCAAAAGACGGTTACAGTTTGACTCGCCTTAGATCTGCACATTTTATTAGAATACATCAATGCTGTTGAAAGGGTTCCGTGTGTCGTTTACGCTCCGCTCTGCAAAAGTGGCAGCTGATTTAAAGCCCTCCATTGATCCACAATAAATGGGAATGTATAAGGGTTAAAGAGGGCCAGCTTTAGTGCCACACGCAATTAGCCCGCTGAATAAAAGCCTGCAGCACCACGGCTTGGCATCACTGCGCCCAGCTGTTCCCTTTTAACCCAAACATGAAGAAACTTCACTCCTTATTAAAGCACTGGAGATATTCATTTATAACTTAACTGAGGAGTATCAGGTGAAGAAAAGAAAAGAATGAGCGTGAGAATTAAACTGACCGCACGCTTTAATTCTGTCAGATCTTCCAGAAATCA